CAGATAAATTCTGAAATTTAAAACCTTTTAGACAAAAGCGCTTTTCCAGGACAATATTTATATTCTTGTTTTTGTCTCAGATATTCGATAAAAGCGTCCAGGACATGTTTTTTGTTATGAGACTTGAAGTGTTATGCGTACTCATTTAGCGTCACTCTTGACTGCATGTCTACTAAATGTTATTACTGTCTGAGTCGCTACACCTTTGTTCACCCGTTTCTTTGATATCGCCAACTTTTATTTGAAGTTATTTGGGAATCATTAGGGTTTTTCTTAGACAGAGTTGCAGCGGAGATGTTTATTGGCCTCACGATTTCAATATGAAAATGAAACGAGTGATGCAAACTCCAAATATTTGTTGAAATGTCTATCAATTGCTGTTTTGAGTTGCGAAATTTTTGGGGATACAAAACATACTGTGACCGTTCGATTTATGGGGAGAATATTCATGTTATGGCAAGTTTATAGGAAAAAAAAAGGTTAAACAAGACTCTGTTTTTTTCCTTTCCTTAATATCAATTCGCTTGCAATTTTCCGTCAGCTGTATAAAATAATGACGCAGAACTTATTCGCTGAAGATTCAGTTTGAACCAAACGATTTGATTCCTCTTCCATATCAATTTAAGAGACAGGATATGAGGTTGAACTTACATTGTAAATCCATCGACTGAAATGAGGCTTTTTAATTGAAAAACTTCAGTTGAAGTAGGGCAAAGCTTTGGTATCGATTTTATTTTTAACGTTTATACTCAGCAGAACTCTTTAAATGAATTCTGTCCCGTTTACTCCAATATCAAAGTTGTTCTTTAATGGTAAAAAATTGTCTTGTCAATAATCTGTTTGGAAGTAATTTGCTTCTAATTTTTTAGTTTCTTTTTCGCTATCAGTTCCATACAAAAAAGTAAAAATATAAGGAATCTTATTTATAAACGCAAAATATTTTTTCTTTCTCCTAAGGCTGTAGTCGCATTCCTTTACCAGTTTAGAGATGCTTTGCGAAAGTGGACTGAAAAACATTTAAAATGATTATTTTGTCAATATTTGTCATTTTCCAGCCATGTGTATGTGCCAAGCAGTGAGAAACAATTTAGGGTGTGTTGGTAAAAGATGAGTGCTCGCTCCTTTTAAGTCCTCAATAAAATATTTTGCACCTGGATATGTTTAGGCTCAAACGCCTGAAATTTTTTTCTTTAATGTATCAATACACAGAGAAAGCGCGTTCGATTTAACCGTTATATTAGCATAGAGTAGAAGATTTTTTCTCATATTAATGATAACAGAGAACTTCACTCATGCTGAAAGTGAACAACGAATAATAAACACACAATTATTCCTTAGAGCCCCCGCATTCATCAACGTCAGGGAGACTTAATTATCAGCTATCAGAAACTTTTTAAGCCTAAAAGATATCTATTTCACCTCCTGCTCAAAAACGAGTGCCCTCAAATATTTCAGAATTATGTGTTGACTTAAGAAAAGCCCTCCAGAGATTAGATCTGCATTTTGCGTCAAATCGTCGCCAAGTAGTTTCGTTTCTTAATGCAAAACCTTTGTGCATTGAAACTTGAGTCCGAGTTAAGTCCTTAAACATTGTTTTAACTATGGTTCCGTGACCAAAAATTGATGCATTAAGGACATTTATTTTTTATGAGGTTTCTATTGTAGGAAAGACGCCCCGTGGACGCAAATTACAACCGCCGGACCGGTGCCGCTTGAAGATAATTAAGTCCTGAATATTCCACTTTTCAAAGCAGAAAAGAAGTACGATCGGTCAAGCAATTTGAACTATATTCTCTTAATATTTATTCCCAAAAAATATTTTTTGACTGAACTCAGTTATCAATATTTGAGAGAAAAGTTGTCTCGAATCATTTATCCAAAATGAACCTCATGATTCATGCTATCAATTACTTTGTCTAAATGTTGATATTCGTCTTAAAGACTAATCTAGCCCTCTACATATGGAGAATAAAAAGTTGCTGCACGAGATTTGGCTAAATTTTTTGTGCTCTTTTTCATTTGATCTCCTTCAAGGCACCACAAAACCTCAAAGCCGTCGAGGGAAAGTAGAAGAACCGAAGTAGAATTCGACCATCATTGTGGTAAAACAAATACACCCACCTTCTATGGATGGCAATTAAAGGTGATATCTTAGAGAGAATCCTTGTAGCTATTGCATTAAAAAATGTCCCTATGGAATTATCGTGGTTTTTTATGTTCTATTTGATAAATGTTGGCCATAGTTTGAAACTGTGAGATTTTTGAAAGTGATATTTCACCGGCGCAAATGACTGAAAACAAACAAAAAAAGTTACTGTGAAACAGCACTTCTAACAAGGGACAAAATAAAACGGTGCACCAAATAGGCCTTATAAATCTAAGTTGATCTCAAAGAAACTATTCAGTTTTGGTTCCTTTTCTAAATTCTGTGGCTCTGTAAGTTTACCAATAACTTGTGGATCCTAATAACTTCTAGTCCCAAATAATCTTTTATTTGAATTTGAATTTTAGAGAATGTACAGGTGGTCTGAATTTGAAATTTCAAACCTCTCGGGCAAACTTTGGCGCTTTTCCACGGACGAGCTTTTCGAGGCAGTCTTTATAATCTTGTTTTGTTTTTATTGTTAAGAACTACAGATATTCCAAAAAAATTTAATGAAAGAATTGTGAATATGTTTTGGCAAAAGCATCTGGGACAGGGTGTTTGTCTCTGTTGAGAGACTCGAAGTTTGAATCGTGCTCATTTAGCGTCACTCTCAGGGTTGTGTTCACGGTGCGAAATGTTATCAGACGTTAACTCATTCGATGCCCTTTCCACATTCATTCTAGTGCGCTGATCAATTTTGAACAAATAGATAATTGTATGTTTGGCGAGTAACCGACTGTTTTCCGTTATTTTTGAGATCATTTTAGGAAAAGTTTTAAGTTATATCACGTTGACTTTCTTTCCAACGATTAAAGTCCATCTATTTGCTAATTAGTATGATGAATTAACTTTTTGGTGGTTTGTGCCAGGTTACCTAACAAATCTAATATGGGTGGTCAAAACTCGCTTATGTCTCTAGTATTCTGATTCCCTTGCTGAAAAAACACAAACACCTCAGTACAAATGAATTTTTGGTAAGATATTTGTTTGCAAAGATGAATGACACCTTTTTACCTAGGAGAGAGAAAAGAAAAGTGAACCATTTACACACTTCCATCAGTATGTATTTCCCCCGTTCTGTTCTTGATACATTTCAGACATGCAACTTACAAGGAGAATGTAGTTAAAAATCAAGAGCTCTTTCAAGTTTGTGATCATTTCTTTAGTTTTTTATAAGCCAAACGTTGATTCAGCAGTGAATAATAAATTGTTTGATACTTTTCTCAATCATAATTTCACTGTGAACTGGAATCAAGGTGGTGGGGCATGTAATTGTGCTCACCAATTCCTCACTAAAATGAAATCCAGGTGCATGACTTATTTTGTACTCCCTGATCCTTACAGATGCTCTGTTAAAGTTGTGGAGACATGAGGGGTTGAGAGGTTTATACAAGGTAACCTTCATATGTATCGGTTGACAGCTTTTTGATTGATTGATCAAGTTAAAAATTGAGATTATTTTGACTGTGTGTGCTTGTCTTGCGGTGAAGTATGCAGGGTATTGGTCTCTAATAAAGTCAATCAAATCCAAGAAGTCACAAGTGTGTACCGCTCCATGTGTACCTTAATACCTTCGGCTTAAGTACAAAAAAAATAATGAAATAAAATGTAGTACAATAGAGGAATTATTAAAAATATATACAGTCTTTAGTTGTTAGATGTGCATGGGAGATTCAATAGTGAAAGTGTAAAAGTGTTCTTATGGAGCACAATTTGAAAACTGTACACCAATACATTGGGCCAATTTTTTTAAGTGACTCATTGTTTGGTACTCTGATTGCAGAGAACTTTAGGTATCTCACAGATGTAGGTCTGCATGATGCAATTACAATTATGTCTTCGATATTCACTTTTGTAGTTAGTATGCTTTGGTTGCTGCATATGCACTAAGCCAACAGTGGTTTTCAAACCTCCTTAAAAAAAGGAGGAAAAAAAACAATCAAAAAGAGAAAAAGGGAAGGAAAGAGCAAGAACAAAAGAGAAGCACAAACATCAGTCTTAGAGTCAGCAACCATACAAAGCTATTTCAGCCTTTTTTAAGACCTCGCTATCTTTGCCTAGCTTAGAGTTTACCTGAGTTTATGTGTTTGGATGGAACATGAAGTTTGCTCATGTCATTTTATTTTACTTCACCAGTGTTACGTTCCAGGTATTTTTGGCGTATCGCACGGAGCACTGCAAGGAGCTGAAGAAAGGCTACAGTCAATATTTTGGAACACCAATCAACAAGAAACTGGAACGAAACTTTACTCTCAACTCCCCTCTCCACCGAGAAGGATTGATAAGAATCAACCTTTGCCCCCCCCAAGATTGACTGACATCTAACTTCTCCTTACAATATCACCTCTGAATCACACATGGAGGTCATGAGAATAGAGGAAATATTCAGCCTCCGAAAAAGTTCTTGACTGTTTAAGAAATTCTCCTTGTCAGTATCTTTGGAAATGTACAGAGAACAGTATGGAGAATATGGATACTGATGATAGGGTGTAAAGGGTCAACACGAACACATGTAGTGGCCAGTGGCGAATGCAAAGGGAGAACACGAGAGAGGGAAGGGTGGGGGAAGTTTTTGGCTTCTCATCTTGAGTAGTAATCCTCCATGACGAGCTTCAGCATTTTGAAGCTACAACTGACGCCCAAACGACAACCTTAATACCTTTGTTGTGCACGTGGCTGTTAGGAAGGTACTTATGGGATGACTTTTATTATTATGTAACCGTGGGTTATCTTGGGAATCACTCTGAAGTGCTGAAAATATAGTATTTCTTTTTTTTATATAAAGTGTTTTGCTCTATAATTTATGTTTTGCTAACTTTCATTTTCTTCATAGAGTTCAACTGAGTACCTTGTAATGGCTTCACTGTCGAAAATTTTCGCCGCAACAGCGACATATCCTTATCAAGTGGTTAGAGCAAGACTTCAGGTTAGAATGGGAGATTCATTAGCAAATTATTAACCTTTTGACATAGATTTAGATTTCGTTTTACTGTTGTATGCTATTCTCTTGAAATAAACTTGTAGTTTAAGGCTGTTTTTAGTTTTCAGGCCGGTGATCTCATCGGTTGGTTTACTGGACTCCAGTTTGATGTGGCCTGTGCTCGGGCCTCGAGCCTCAGCTAGGTCATTGTGTCGGTTCCTTGGGAAAAGATTCGTTAGCACCACACATCCCCCCTCCCAGTGTTTCAAATGGGCACCAACAAAAGGCCAGGGAAACCCTACAATGAGGATAAATACCAAATCTCACGAGGGAGAGTAGCTTTCACCCTCTTTCACTCTCTCTATTCCTCTTAAGAAACACGGATCCAAGATGGTTATGAGAACGCTCGGCGCGAAAGTTTTGATCCTGTGCCCATAAAATTAGCTAAAACCAATTGAGTATATCTGGAGCTGTCTCTAAGCAAGTCTGTTTTGTTAAATCGTTCAGTATTTACTGTTTCTTGCTGTCATTTATTGTTCATGAATTTTACTTTTCTAAAGAATCAGTACACGATGGTGGAATACAAAGGCGCGTTGGATGTGATTAGTAAGACTTTCAGGTAAGTTGGAACTTGACATGAGGACTTAAAGCTTTCGATACGTTATAGACTAGCTTTCCATCTCTAGTCAGTTCAAACCCTCTACATTAAAGAGAGGTACATGTTTTGCCCGTTTGAAACAATTTGAAAAAGAATTGGACCAAAATTGGTGGAGAACTGAAACCAGCTTGTTTGAGAACTGGATCCAATTTCGGATTGACTTACGGCTTAGTGGTAAAGTCCACATTTTTATGAAAGAAAGTATTCTTCTTTTTCTGGCCTCTCCTCACGGCAGGTTCTTTTCAAAATCTTAGGCATGAAGGAGTAACAGGATTTTATAAAGGATTAATTCCCAGTGTCCTCAGGTAAGGCTAAATGTTAAAAATAAATTTGATGATACGAGTAGATTTGCTTGTTAGTTTTATGTATTAAACCGCAATGTATAATCTAGAATTGGCCAAGAGGGCTTAGTGGGCTCTCATCTTTAATTTTAGGTAGCGCTTTGTAAAGGAAAGGGTCTTAAGAGATGGGGTACCCCCATAAGGTGTTTGAACCTATTTGCACCCTCTAGTCTGTGAGAAACTGGGAAGAAGAGACAGGCGATAGATACATTAAGAGCCTATAAAATTCGGAGTAGGTGTCATGTCATTGTTTTCGTCAGTTACATGTTCGAATACTGTGAAATTATTAAGATACTTATCGTTATCACAAAATGTTTGTGCCCCACCTGATATGTTAGTGTAGGTTTTAGCGGTTTTTTTGTTTTTGGAAATCCAGCAAAGGAGCGCTTTAGAAGAAACCCTGAAACTGTAATATATGTAAAACGTTCATTGTCGATTTTACTGTGTATTGTGCGTTTGATTGTTGATTTTGTTTCTTTCTAGAGTAACGCCAGCATGTGCACTTACATTTGTGGTGTACGAAAACGTTATTCACTTCCTTCTGCCGGACAGATGACATCGACAGGATAAATGATGGAATCCGGCAACGGGAGACAATGGGCAATACTACAGCATCTGGTTTTATTACCAGACTTTATTCTGCAACAGTTCCGACTGATTCATTTATGGAAAAATATATATTAACCGAGCGAAGTTAACCGCCCTGTGCGTTTACACATTTTATCGATAACTTCATTTACCAGCGGAATGTGAATATGAATTTTTTCAGAGCAATTTTTGTACATCAATGCAAAAGGTATCCATTATTACTATCAGGTAACAATGATTTCTCCCATTGTTCTTTTATAAAGAACCTTCCCCCTCCCCTTTGTCCCTTGTCCCATACGGGTATCAAATTTATGTACATCCCCTTAGCACTAACAAAGGCATGAACTACAGGAGATGCCTTTTTGCAATTTTTTTTTATTACTATTAACTTCATAATTCAAACATTACTTGTGAACACTACTTGCAATTAATCAAGAAAAATGTTCAATATTAAGTTAAAATTACCTTATTTTCCTTTTTCTGTTCCTTACGTTAAAATCTTTTTCAATAACTTTGTCCATTTGTTACTGAATCGTTGCGATGTAAAGTTAAACCCAGTTTTTATTTATGGCTCTGTTTTTACTTCACTGCAACATTTCCTTGTTGTTGTTGTTATTTTTCCCTGGTTATTGACATTAACTTCAGTAAAAAACGGTGAAAGGTACTCTTTCGCGATCGCTATTAGATGAGTGGTATCGAGAACCTACTCTGACCCATGGACAACACTGCCCTTAACGCTTACTCGTGTTCGTGTTATGAAACTCAGCTAAAAATAGTCCGTGTAAGTTAAATTTATTTACAAAGAGATACACAGTTTTTGTTAAATAATGAGATAATTTATTTACACCACTCAAGAAGCTGAGCCACGATTGACCCAGCTCATATCACTTTGCTTTGAAGAGTCTACCGACGATTTTTCTATATTTTGATACGTTGTCAAAAAACTCGCTTTGCTTTGCCTCATTTGCTTTGTGTTCAGGTCTCTTATTGTAAATTAGAGACAAATGAACATCAAATGATTGGAAGACTAGTCTTAGTTAGAATATTGAAATATCAGGCAGTAGCCTTTGGGGGTTACGGTGAGAGTGGGTTTCTTTTCTGCGCTTACTATTTTTCATAGGATTCTTTGAATATGTTTGCATTATATAAAAGGAAAACTTCGCCGAGAGAAACTGTGATTTTGATCTCAAATCTAACATTCCTGAAAAAAATATTTTTGGTGATGTACTTAAACGGTGTAGAAAGTTGTTTACAACTTGTGTTTACCTATGGTGCCCTAAATACTTGTTTTTAACACATTGTAGTTCTGAATACCTTTCTTTTAGCGTGTTAATGTTGTAGGCAAACATTAACAGTAGTAAAACAGGTCAACTTTTTAAATCTATAAAAGTATTTTAACAAATTTCGTCTTGAATGAATGAGGTGCCCGTGCTCTCAGTTAAATAAGCTTTATAGTTACACTTTGAAGTCATTGCGTCAAGATCTTTAACTTGGATTCAAAATAAGCGTGAGATGTAAGCGATCCATTAATTTCAAATGAATTCTGGTCGATTCGGACACATTTAACACACGGTTACGCAGGCTAAACCATTGAATTTTGCTTACTGTGTTTCTGGAAATTGGTTCAATGTTTCAAAATACTGAGTCACTATTAATACGTTAACTTTATGTAATTTCAAAGGACATCAGATCTTGACTGTCATCGCTTTTTTTTCTACGCCTATAACGTAAGATAGCGCCTGTTTGTATTCCACGGACATACGCTAAAATAATCATGGTTTATAATTACAGCAATTGAAGAATGAAAAAAAAACGAAAAAAAAAATACATAAATAAAAGGCTCAAAAACTTTAAGCTTGAGAGTTTGTATCTTGCAGATTTTAGTGGAAGATTACTTAAAGATACTTGGGGCTATTCTCTTTGATGACAGAGGCTATCTGATGAGAATTATCACTCTAATGAGATAAGTACCTGTTTGCCACCAAAGTTAAAATCTGATGATAATGTTTACGATAGAGAAGAAAGGTTGAATACCTTACATGTCAAAACTTTATATACATGTATCTACGGAGCGATTTGTGTGTTCTCTCACTACGCGAAGTATATTTGCTTCACATTCAGTCTGCACTACAGTAGCGTGAGGGACAACTTCGTGGCTTTAAAAGTTTGTAGATAAAGTAGGATACACAGTTTTTTACTGAAATATTTTTTGTGTATCGGCAACTATTAGAGAGAATACTAAAGCAGACCTTCCTGAAAACTTCACCATCTTCCACTGTAGGATGAGCACCATCCAACCAACCTGGCCAGCCTGTACCACATCTGAATGCTGGCACACGTGTTGTGGGCATTTTTGTTCCTGCAGCTCCCACAAAACGATACCATCCCTCGGGGAGTGAGTAGTCACACAACGATGGTCCAACTAACGGTGTAACGTAACTGCTCTTTCTATTGGCATCACTCAGGTTTTGATAATTATAACATGGGTCAGCTAGTAAATGAAATAAACATTACAAAAAGGTTGTAGTAACAAAGATAACATTTTTTTGTTGACATTTTTCAAGTCAATCAGTTCGACAACAACTAGATGGGACTAATGTTTTACAAGAACAACTATGCGTTAAGTAAAATTTAAAGAAGAATTTGGATTGGACAGTGATGATGCAAATAGGAACTAAAATGAAATGATAGCATTATATAGAGTTATGTGAACTCTTGCTTTAATCGCCCATCAAAGCCTGTAGTTGTTTGTACCTCAACTGGAAGCTACCAAACAGTTCCCAAACAACGATACCAGCCCAGAGGTATTTGGTAGTAACACAATTAAGTCCCAGGAGTGTGCAATGACTCTCTGTCTATTAGCACCATCCAACTATTTATAATCATAACGCGAATGAATGAGTTGCCAGTAATCGGATCCTTGCGTTTGCACAAAGATTTCCTAAGCAATTACTTTAATTTCTTTTTTTTTTAGAGGGCACGGTAACGAATCCTGCAATCTGATTGGTTCTTTACCCGGTCAGTATTTTCCTATCTCTGCCCACGGGCCACGGTAACGCTTTCGTGAGTCGCCGAGTACAGCTCAAATTTCGTTGCCATTTTTCATAAATATACCTCGTTTTTCCTGCTGGGCAGTATTTTTAAGCAAATACATCGGTCACTACCTCAAGCCGACTTATGAATCCTCTCTTTTCTCTCTCTCTCAAATCACTGACAAAAAAATTTTGGTTTCAGAATGAATTTGTATAGGCAATAGTGTCATTACGTTGGTTGACAAGCGGCCTAAAAACCGTCTGCAATTGATTTTAATCATTCACAAAATAGAAAGTTAAAACGTGAGGTATTTGGCAAGTTATCATCGGTCTGTTATTCACTCACTCGATTGTAGATAGCAATTGCTTAAACGTACCTACAGTGTTTTTAGGCGAAAAAGAATTAAACATTGTAACTCGCATGTCTTTAAATACTTTAAGGCTTTGAGACTAAAACAGTGATATTGGAGATCCAGATAAACTCATCAGGATCCGAATTTGAGCTCCTTCTTTTTCAGACAATGCATTAAAGGACAGCTGTAGGCAGACTTAGGGCACAACCGGTATCTTTTACATATGAGAAACTAATTATATGGCCACCTCAGCAGCTTCAGGTTATATTCGAGCAGGAATATTCTAAATATTATAGCAAAGAGATTAAATTCACCTGTGCAGCTTTGACCATTTCCATTAAATCCAGGGTAGCATTCACAAAGATAGGATCCGTTGGTGTTCGTGCAGGTAGCATTCACGTGACAAGAGTGATTTCCTTTACATTCGTCAAAACCTGAGGAAACCACATATATATTTGCACTTCATCATGTTTGTCACTTTAAAAATGAGCGGACTCTCAGTCGAGTGATTACTTTGATAATCATACATAACAAAACAATTTTTTCTCTTTTTGTGTTCCACGAATTAGATATTTGAAACGTTTATTTTATCACGAGTATTTCAGTTTATCAAGCTATCGGCTCTGAAACAACTGGCTTTTTCCTGCTGCTCCCACAAAACGTACCATCCCTTGGGGGATAGGTCGTCACAAAACACTGGACCAAATTGCGGTGTAGCGTAATTACTCTTAATACTGGCATCGCCCAGGTTTTGATAATTATAGCAGGTAATTTAGTGTTAACAACTGAATTGAAAACGTAAATTTGCCACCGTAAAGGGTAAAAAAGCTGACGTTTCGAGCGTTAGCCCTTCCTCAATCACTGATAGCATTACAAAGAGTCATGTTTCCTTTTGCTTTAATCGCCCATTTAAGTCTGAGTTGTATGTACCTCTACTATATGCTACCAAATGCGTTTAAGACATTTTTGATTCTCAGCTCCCGCACAACGATGCCAGCCCCGAGGTATTCGGTAGAAACACAATTATTTCCCAGGAGTGTGCAATTTCTCTCTGCCTCCTTAAGGTTTCCTTTCGTTCTATGAAAAGGGTCAGATAAGGTCTGAGAAAAATATACAATCCCTTCAGGACTCAACCTGCCATTTCTTTTAGATTTTTTTCCTTCCCCATTATTTTTCTTACCTTATCAACTGAGTTGATAATGCAAATTGGCCTCTGTAAAGAGTTTCAAAGCTGACGTTTCGAGCATTCGCTGTAACACTCTTTACGGTGGCCAATTTACCTCATCAACTCAATTGATAATACTATATTACCCTGTTGCACTCTCCCACCGACGCAGCACCGCAGTTCTTGTAGAACTTTTATTTATCGCTCTTTCTCTCAGTTTGCTGACGACATAATCCACGCTGGATTTTGTGAAAACGAGCTGGAGGCGACTGATCTACTTTTTTTTCGAATAGTTTCCCAACATCTGAAGACGTTTACTACGCTGGTAAACTGATAGAAAGTGCGGTCTGTTACTTTAATAACATATATAAACTTCAATTTTCCACAGGTTTACCGGTGCAATCAACGATTGTTTTTT